AACAAAGACTTTAGAGATGAGCAAGAGAAGGTGGGATTCATCATGTCCCATTTGCATGGAGATGCTAAAGCATGGCTGCGCAATTTGTGGAGAGATAAGGATCCGGCGCTCCAAAATGCGGATGCCTTTATTAAAGCGATGGATGGGTGCTTTTTATCAAGCATTGACGTGGATCTTGCTCGGCAGCAGATACATGGACTGAAGCAAGGGAGGGCCAGCGTAAGGCAGTACCATGCCCGCTTTTTCGCTTTGGTCAGTGCTCTGGAATGGGACAGAGATTCGGCTCCTGTAAGAGACCTGTTTTGGGAGGGATTGCACGGCTCGGTTAAAGATGAAATTGCGAGAGGGGAGAGACCCCGGACCACGCAGGAGATCGTTCAGAGGGCGCTGGCGGTGGGGGTGCGGCTGGAAGAACGTCCGTGGAGCAGGGATGAAGGGCGTGGAGGGCGCGAACCAGCCAGGGGCTCCTCCTTCCTTCCCAGAGAAGCAGCGCGTGCGCAATCCACGCCTCCGCCAGGAGGAGGAGCGGAACCTATGGAGGTTGGAGGTGCAAGGGCTCAGTCAGCAGCCAGAGCCCTAGCACCGGCAGCAGTGAAAGCGAAGCCTCCTAGAGGGAACAGGAAGTGTTACATCTGCGATGATCCACAGCATATGGCGAAAGAGTGTCCCCAGAGGCTCCACAAGCACACTGCAGCCTCAGCAATGGTAACTGCAGCAACGCAGCAAGGAGAACCACGGCAGGGAAACGACGGAGTCTGGCTGGAGGAAGAGGCACTGGGGCCCAGCCAGACGTGTCAGTGAAGCAGTCCCCAGAGATTTTACAGCCCATGGACCCCCTCCCGCCCAAACCAGTAGTGAGGCTCACCGCGTCGCTCCAGCTGCCCAATGGCATCAACATGGACGTGCCAATCACCATTGACTCCGGAAGCAATGCGGACTTTATAGGGCAGGACTTTGTCGACCGGCACGCTATACAGTTGCTGCCTGCCACGCTGCCCCTGCAGGTTGTCACGGTGGATGGCAGGGAGCTGCTAGGGGGGCAAGTGGTGAAGCAGACGCCACCAATGGTGATGAGACTTGGGAATCACAGGGAAATCATCAGCTTCAATGTCACTCAACTATCGGACACGCCCATTGTATTGGGCATGAGTTGGCTGGACAAGCACAGCCCGACGCTGGCTTGGTACCAGAGGCAGCTGACCTTCGGCTCTTCCTTTTGCGCTGAACACTGCATCGTGCCCCGGCAGGAAGGAGAGGAAGAGGAGTCACAGCTGCAGCTCGGCACGCTGCAAGCGGTTCCCCACAAGTACGCAGCATTTTTGGAGGTTTTCTGTGAGAAGGAGGCAGACAGGCTACCCCCACAGACCATATGACTGCAAAATTGACCTGCTGCCGGGGCGGCGCTGCCCAAAGGGAAGTTGTATTCCATGTCTGAGGACGAACTGCAGGAACTCAAAGAGTTCATAGATCATAATTTGGAGCGCGGTTTCATCCGAGAGTCCACGGCAGCGGGGGCAGTCCGGTATTCTTTGTTAAGAAGAGGGACACGCCCCAAAAAGACTTGTAGTGGACTATCGCATTTTGAACAGCGTGACCAAGCCATCGGACTTCCCCATGCCCCGAATCGACGACCTCCTCGCGAAGGTACGGAAGGGCAGCGTGTTCACCAAGTTGGACCTGCGAGGGGCGTACAACCTCATTCGCATGCGGGAAGGAGATGAGTGGAAGACAGCCATGTTCACGCCCCTGGGCACCTACGAATATAGAGTTATGCCTTTTGGATTGCAAAATGGTTCCCACGTTTTCAAGCTTTCATGCATCACGTGTTGGCGGGGCTCCTCTACAAGACGTGCGTCTGTTTCTTGGATGACATCCTGATCTTTTCGGAATCGCAGCAGGAGCATGACAGGCACGTCAAAGAAGTGCTGAGCAGGCTACAGCAACATAGGCTTTACGCCAAGCTGGAGAAGTGCCAATTCGACGTGACGGAGGTGGATTTCCTGGGCTACAAGTTGTCTGATAAAGGGCTCGCCATGGACAGCACCAAGGTCCGAGCAGTGTTGGATTGGAAAAGCCCACGCAACCGGAAGGAGGTCCAACGGTTTGTCGGCTTTGCGAACTTCTATCGCAAGTTTATCAAAGGCTTTGCCATGCAGACAGCGGCCATCACGGACACGCTCAGCTCCAAGAAAAGAAGTTCATCTGGACAGAGCAGGCGGAGCAGTCCTTTCAGGCACTCAAGCGTCTCTTCGCGTCGGAAGAGCAACTGCTTCATGTCAACCCCAGCAGGCCGATCAGGGTGGAGACAGACGCTCGGACAGAGCCGTGGGAGCAGTCCTGCTGCAGAAGGACCCGCAGGGGGTTTGGAGGCCGGGAGCGTTTTACTCAAGGAAGCTCAGCAAGTCCGAACAGAACTACACCATCTGGGACAGGGAGTTGCTGGCCATTCATGCAGCGTTCAAAGCGTGGAGGCACTTCCTGATCGGCGCCAAGCACACGGTGCAGGTCTGCACGGACCACAAGAATCTAGAGCACTGGCGCACGGCACAGTTCCTGAACCAGAGGCAGATACGTTGGGCTGAGTTCTTTGCGAATTTCGACTTCCGAATAGAGTATGTCCCGGGGACACCAACATCATGGCGGATGCTCTCTCCCGTAAGCCACAGTATTTGGAGGAGGCAACGCCAGCGGCCGCCATGCACATCTTCGCACCGACAGTGTGGGCGTGCACGGCGGCGACAGTTGACCTGGAGGCGGTGCGACGAGCGTTGCAGGATGACTCCTTCGCGCAAGCAAAGATGGCAGAGGCGCACAGGGGCACGGCAGCGACCGACGAGTTCCAGCTGCGAGATGGTTTGCTCATCCGTAAAGGGGCCATCTACGTGCCGGGAGACGAACTTCGCGCCAAGGTACTGCAGCAGCTGCACGACGCGCCCACTGCCGGGCACTTTGGCAAGGAGAAAACGGTGGAATTAGTAGCCAGAGACTTCTGGTGGCCAGGAATGAGAGGGGAAGTCGCGGACTACGTGGCGAGGTGTGACACCTGCCAGAGGGCCAAACCAGTGCACAGACCGCCGGCCGGACTGCTGGAACCGCTGCAAACTCCGTTCGAACCATGGGAGAGAGTGGCCCTGGACTTTGTCACGGATCTGCCCAGCTCGAGGGGCAAGACGGCTGTGCTGGTGGTGGTGGACTTGTTCTCCAAGATGGCACATTTCATTCCGTGTGCGAAGGTGGCCACGGCGGAACAAACCGCCAAACTGTTCATAGACCACGTGTTCAAGGTTCACGGTCTGCCGCGGTCTATTCTGTCCGACCGAGGGCGACAGTTCATCTCGAACTTCTGGCAGAGGCTGATGGGCTTCCTGAACGTCAAGATCAACCTGGCGTCGGCTAGACACCCGCAGACCAATGGGCAAGCGGAGCGGGTCAATGCCATCATGCAGCAGTACCTGAGATGTTATGCGAATCAACAGCCTGCGACGTGGGTGGATTACCTGCCTCTCGCCGAGTTTGCCTACAACAACACGAAGCACGTGTCCACGGGGGTCACGCCGTTCTTCGCCAACAACGGGAGGCACCCCAGAACCTTCCCGGGACTGGAAAGAATGGGGGAGGGGGGAGCCGCAGACAGCAGATGCATTCGCGTCGGAGTTGCAGGAGGTCCACGATCAGCTGCGGCGGCACCTGGAGCTGGCTAAACACGCATACAAGGTACAAGCGGACAAACACCGAAGGGTTGGCGAAGAGATCCATGTGGGAGACTGGGTCTGGTTAGCAGCCCACGCAGTGCCGGCCAGGTCGTTGGCGAAGAAGAAACTAGGGCATAAACAACTGGGGCCCTACCAAGTCGAAGAACAGGTCAACCCGGTAGCTTTCAGGCTGGCTCTTCCGGAGGGTTCCAGAATGCATCCGGTGTTCCACAGATCGGTGCTCACTCCCTACAAGGCACCTCACAGGTTTCAGGAACCAGGAACGGCACCGGGTCCGCTCCGAGAGAGAACCGGGCAGGGGGGAGTGGCACGGGAGGAGCGCATCAACGAAGTCACGGAGATTTTGGACTCCAGATGGGGGGAAGAGGGGGTAGAATACCTTCTCGCCAAGGAGGGCACCCCGGCCAGTGCCAACAGCTGGGTGCCGGGCTACGCTTTAGACGAACCTCTGCTCAAAGAAGAGTTTCATGCCCTCTTCCCACATAGGCCAATGCCAGCAGACTTTTTCGACGACTGGCTTTTCACGCCCACGCTTTCAGCCAGCACGTTCCGGGGGTCGACTCGGACGAGGAACCGACACGAGACGCCCGTTCCCCGGAGGGGTCACCCTCAGGATCTGCTTCAGAACCCTCGTATTGGTGGGATGATCGACCAGAGGAGCAGTTCCGTAGAAGGTGGCTGGAGGTCCCAGGACGAGCAACGTCTCCAGAAGGCAACGAGGGAGAGACGGACATGGACTTTTCGGGGACGACCCGGGTTTCGAGCACGGCGGCACAGAGATGGAAGCGGAGGTGACCGTCGTCAACGAGAGCAGGGAGGAAGAACCGGAAGACTTCAGATGGCGGCCCGCCACGGGAAGCGAACTGTATCCGACATTCGTCCCCTGACACGGCAGCACCCAGATCCCGCACCGGAAGGAGGGGAGGGGGGAGAGGGGGCTTCGAGGGGGATGGATGTCAGGGGTTCAGGAGCAGAGGCAAGGGCAAGGGAGGAAACAGAGAGCGAGGGGGAGGAGGCAGAAGAAAAGATGAGTGATGACGACGACCCGAGATCTCCGAGTCTTTCCAGTGAATCAGAAGATTCACAGAAAGGAGCACCAGTGGCCAGGGCAAGGGCAAGGGGGGAGCCTAGGGGGACACCCCAGGAAGATAGAGCCAGAGGGGACTCAGAGGGGAGCAGTTGGAAATCGGGACCAACGTCACCGCCAGAGAGCAGGGAAGAGGAAGGGCACCAGGGATCAAGCGCTGGCAACTCACAACAGGGGGGAGGGCACGAGTCAGGAGTGGCCACACCTCCATCGGGGAGCGAAGAAACGGTCAGACGGAAGGTGGAAGGTTGGGCGCGCGCGCCAAGTTCAAATGCACAGGAAGGTGGCGCAGTAGGCAGCCCGGAAAGGGAGCCAGGTCCCAAAGCCCGCCGAAAGGAGGGAGAAGAGTCAGGGGAGTCAGCGTCAGCGTCAGAGGAATCCCGGAAGGAAGAGACCCCGGGGGGCAGAGGGACCCAGAGAAGAACAGTCAGGCGGAAAAGGTGGAGCAGGGCTAGGATATTAAGTTGGTGTACAAGGGGCGGAGACTCAGACGGAGCTTCGCCGGTCTAAGCATGAGACGTAGAGTTGCACGCAGCAGCTTGAGAATGGAAACTGTAACTCAATAAAGACTTTTGCTTAATGATCGCTGGCTAGCGTGATCCTCTGTGAGCTAGGATCTGGAAGCAGCTCTGACACTACCCCTTTTTTTTCCTTAGAATCTGAGTTGATAAACTCTTTTCCCAACTTTTTATTTATTAGAATATGTTTGTGTTTTTTGGCGACATGTGTTTCTTGGCAACAAATCACATCAATGTTTTTTTTTCTTTATAATTTTCTCAAATTTATTTCTCTTAGACTTTTCGTTGAGACCGTTCAGATTCCAGGACAAAAACTTAAGGGTCATTTCAATATTTGACTAGCGTACACTTTATCCTAATTTCTAATTTAAATTCTAGTACTGCTATTTCCAGTGGTTTCTTCGTCTTCCCCCTCCTCTTCCTCCCCCGATTCCAGCTCCTCCACCTCTCCCTCTACTTCTCCTCCCCTCCTCTCCGTCCCTTCAGCCTCTTTCCCCCCTCTTCCCCTCCTCTCCTCTACGTTCATCTCTCCTCCTGCAGGTCTTTCTTCTTCTTTTCCAAGATCCTTTTCATATCTTCTCAGAAACTTTTCCACTTCTTGTATGTCTGTCAATTTAAACCTTTTGTTCTTATAAAAGAAGGAGATCCCTTCTGGGAATTCCCATTTATACTGTATTGTATTTCTCTTCAGAACATTTGTTATTTGTCTATATCCTTCCCTTTTGCGCAGAATCCTGATTGGAATTTCTTTAAAAATAATAATTGGGCAGCCTCCAATCATTAATACTAAATACAGTAATACTAAAAGGAAAGGGAGTTCATGATGGCTGGGAGTTTGTTAAGAGGGAGATACTAAAAGCACAACGTCAGGCAATACCAATGAGATGGAAACATGGAAGGTGCCTAAAGAAGCCAGGGTGGCTATCTAAAGAACTTTTAACTGAGTTAAGATTAAAAAGGATGTGTACAAAAATGGAAAAGGGGGAAACCACCAAAGAGGAATTCAAACAAATAGCCAGCACGTGTAGACACAAAGTCAGAAAAGCTAAAGCACAGAATGAACTCAGGCTTGCTAGAGAGGTTAAAAGCAACAAAAAGGCTTTTATGGGTATGTTCGTAGCAAAAGGAAGAACAAAGAAACAGTGGGGTCATTCAGAGGAGAAGATGGTGAAATGCAAACAGGGGACACAGAAAGGGCTGAACTCCTCAATGCCTTCTTTGCCTCAGTCTTCGCCGATAAAGAAAACAATGCCCGACCTGAAGAATTTGGAGCAAATGATTCAGCAAAGGAAACACAGCCCAGAATAACTAAGGAGATAGTACAAGAATACTTGGCTAGTTTAGATGTATTCAAGTCTCCAGGGCCAGATGAACTGCATCCAAGAGTATTAAAAGAACTGGCAGATGTGATCTCAGAACCACTGGCAGTCATCTTTGAGAATTCCTGGAGAACAGGCGAAGTCCCGGCAGACTGGAGGAGGGCAAATGTTGTCCCTATTTTCAAAAAGGGAAAAGAGAGGACCCAAATAATTACCGCCCAGTCAGTCTGACATCAATACCAGGGAAGATTCTGGAGCAGATCATTAAGCAAACAGTCTGTGAGCACCTAGAAAGGAATGCTGTGATCACCAATAGTCAGCATGGATTTCTGAAAAATAAGTCATGTCAGACTAACCTAATCTCGTTTTTGACAGAATTACAAGCCTGGTAGATGAAGGGAACGCAGTGGATGTAGCCTACCTTGATTTCAGCAAGGCATTTGACAAGGTGCCTCATGATATTCTTGTAAAGAAGCTGGTAAAATGTGGTCTTGACTATGCTACCACTCAGTGGATTTGTAACAGGCTGACTGACCGAACCCAAAGGGTGCTCATGAATGGTTCCTCTTCATCCTGGAGAAGAGTGACTAGTGGGGTGCCACAGGGTTCTGTCTTGGGCCCGGTCTTATTCAACATCTTTATCAACGACTTGGATGATGGACTCAAGGGCATCCTGATCAAATTTGCAGATGACACCAAACTGGGAGGGGTGGCTAACACCCCAGAGGACAGGATCACACTTCAAAACGACCTTGACAGATTAGAGAACTGGGCCAAAACAAACAAGATGAATTTTAACAGGGAGAAATGTAAAGTATTGCACTTGGGCAAAAAAAAGGAGAGGCACAAATACAAGATGGGGGACACCTGGCTTGAGAGCAGTACATGTGAAAAGGATCTAGGAGTCTTGGTTGACCACAAACTTGACATGAGCCAACAGTGTGACGCGGCAGCTAAAAAAGCCAATGCAATTCTGGGCTGCATCAATAGGAGTATAGCATCTAGATCAAGGGAAGTAATAGTGCCACTGTATTCTGCTCTGGTCAGACCTCACCTGGAGTACTGTGTCCAGTTCTGGGCACCACAGTTCATGAAGGACACTGACAAACTGGAACGTGTCCAGAGGAGGGCAACCAAAATGGTCAAAGGCCTGGAAACGATGCCTTATGAGGAACGGCTAAGGGAGCTGGGCATGTTTAGCCTGGAGAAGAGGAGGCTAAGGGGTGATATGATAGCCATGTTCAAATATATAAAAGGATGTCACATAGAGGAGGGAGAAAGGTTGTTTTCTGCTGCTCCAGAGAAGCGGACACGGAGCAATGGATCCAAACTACAAGAAAGAAGATTCCACCTAAACATTAGGAAGAACTTCCTGACAGTAAGAGCTGTTCGACAGTGGAATTTGCTGCCAAGGAGTGTGGTGGAGTCTCCTTCTTTGGAGGTCTTTAAGCAGAGGCTTGACAACCATATGTCAGGAGTGCTCTGATGGTGTTTCCTGCTTGGCAGGGGGTTGGACTCGATGGCCCTTGTGGTCTCTTCCAGCTCTATGATTCTATGATTCTATGATTCTATGATTCTAACTTTCTTTGGTAGCTTGTTCTTAGTATTGTATTCTTCATTTCAATTGAGTTAAATATAACTAAACAATCACCGGGAAGTTTTTTTGATTTAATTGGTTGGGATTTCACTCTTATTCTGAACGCACTTTCTATCGTGTATGCTACTTGTTCTTCTTTTATCTCCAACCATTTTGCAAGTTCTTTTATCATTTTTTCTCTTATGTTCTCGTTTACTTCTTCTGCTACACCTCTAAATTTTAAATTGAGTTGTTTCTGACGCATTTCTGTCATGGCTAGATTGTCCCATAATTGATCTTGCGTTTTATTTAAGTCTTTTATTTCTTTCTTTAATTTTCTGTCTCCTTCTTTTGGTCCTTCAATTCTTTTTGATTTCTTTTATTTGTTTCTTCAATTATTTTTGACTTAACTGTCAAGTCTTGTATCTTGCTAGAGAGTTCTCCTACAGCACCCTCAATTTTCCTGTCTATCTGTTCCTGTATCTCTCCTAATTTGCTTTCCATATGTAATTCACTTTGTTGAAATTCCTTCTTAATCTTTAACCATAAAATGTCTAAATCTCTAATTTCCTCCTGTCGGGATGCCTTTCTCTCTCCTGGCGTCCCTCCTACTTTTTTCCCGTTTTCCCCAACATTTTGCGGTTAATTTCTCAATAACCAACTTTATTTTTTACTCTCTCCCCTAGAGGGCGCACAATCTCTCTTTTACCCTTTCTGTCTTTTCAACACTTTTATTTATCTGTTCTTATATCACTTTCCTTATATCTCTTTGTTTTCCTTAGTATCATGTCCCCCTTAAATTCAATCCAGCTTTTCCCCCCAAAAGAAGAGAGAAGTCTTTCATTAACTTATTCAATATTGTCCAATCCCATTAGCCTTATCAGTGACCTTGTGCCAACATAAATTTGATTGTGTTAGTATATTAGTATATTAGTATGTTAGTTCCAAAAACAGAAGAACAAAGAACACAAATATAGACAAAAATCAAAAGTGGTAGTCTCTTTTTGTAGTCCAAGGAAAATTGTTCAGTCTCTATCAAATTCTGTAATTTCAGCCACTCGTCGGCCTAGTCCCCTTCACAAAGGATATTTTCAGACAATCATTACCGTCTATTTACCTCAGGTCCTTAGTTCTGTGAAATCAGTCTTTGTAATCCTGGAGGGGGATGTATATATTTCAATAAGTATTCAAAAAAAGAGTGAGATGGTGCCCAACTTTCAGGGTCTGAGGTTATTCAATATATTCAATATATAAACTCTTTGTGTGTTCTATAGCCTTTTTGAGTTATTAATGTTCAAATAATTTACTTTTCTGAATTGTTAGAGTTCAAATGATTGATTAACTCGAGATGTGGGTAAGCGTCTTGAACTGGATCAAATCCTGCCGATGGTGAGGTCAGGTTAAATTTTTCTCAAAACTGGGGGTAGGAAAGATGAGTTGTTAATTATGTTATTTTGGGAGAGAACAGAGGGGGGAAGAAAAGAAGGCAGAAAATGGAAAGCAGTAAAATAGGGAAGAAGAAAAAAAAAAGGTAGGAAAAGACAGAGGGTAAGATTCTTAGGTTTTCTATCCAAGCCACTCTAACGTTCATAGAAAAAGTCCCAGAGTGAGGAAAATTTCTTTTCAGGGTTTCTCTTTTTGTCTCTTTGAGCCGTTTTTCAAACTGTCCTTCTAATCTCCTTCTAATCTCTTCTCTTTCCCCCCCCCACTCCTTCCAACTGTCCTTTTATGCGGCTCTAAAAAGTTTTATATTACACGGGTCTGTAAAGTTTCCTTTCTCTTTCTTACTCCCCCGAAAACGGCAAACAGAGTTCCCAATTAGTGGAATGTTTCAGATTCTTTAATCTCGACAGTAGAGTCCGAGACGTTTACTTTGTATTCACTCAGTCAGGCAAAGGGATACTTCCTTCCTCCTCCTTGCGACTTCGTAGCCTGCGCCATTTTAATCCTCCGCCGAGGTGAGTTCCTGAATTAAATCTTCTAACATCCAACGTTCTCTTAGTGCATTTTTAGATTTTATAGCATAAAAAAAGTCTACTCACACTAAGGGTTCCGTTCTTACAATTTTGGAGGTTCGTCGCTTTCTTCAGTGAGAGCCAGAGGCATCGTAATACAGGGTCGATGCTTTCCCTTTTGTGCTTGCAGTCTCGCCGCCCTCGAGATCTTCCAAAGAAAAAAAAACCCGAAAAAACAACGAAACCGCTTCCACGCGGCTGGGTATCTTATCCCTCAAGGGTCTCCCCCTTGAGATTTTTGGGGGGCGCAGTGTCTTTGCGGCTCCCCCAAGCCCCTGTATTACTCAGAAAACTCCTCCGAGGGTTTTCTGCGCTCCCTTTCTGCTTGCGACAGAAACCGGAAGCCTCCACCAATTAGTTTCATAGTGCTGGTTTGGACCCAAAGCGTTTTATGTGGCTCAGGACCCCGATACCTCAAGGATCTTCTCTTCCCTTATGAACCAGCCTAGACCCCGCTATTGTCATCGGAGGCCCTTCACCATATGGCCCCCCTCTATGGGAGGGCCAGAGGGTGGCAAGACGAGATCGGGCCTTCTCAGTGGTGACTCCCTGCTTGTGGAATGCTCTACCCGGGAAGGCTTGCAGGCACCATCACCGCATATCTTTAGGCACCAGGCAAAAACATTTGCTGCCAGGCCTTTGGCTTTTAATTATCTGTGGCCTCCTTGAGTGGGAGGAATGTTTTAATCCTGCCTTTTAAAAATATGATTGCCTGTTCAAATTTTAGTTTTTATACTAGTTTCAGTGTATGTGATCACAGCAACACACAATAATACGTTTGGAAAAAAGAGTGATTTAGAGTTTAAATGATAATTAATTATTTAATAATATAATGTGTCCAATTTCTCTTAATTTCTCCTTTTTTCCAGTTTCCAGTTCAGTTCTGCACACTCCCACATCAGTTTGTGATCGTATTTTTAAATCCTCATGAAAATTCATCAGAAACAGGAAGAAATGTACCTATGTACCTATGGAAACAGCCATCTTTTTTTCTGCACAGCGTCCTCTGTTATTGTCGTTTAGTCGTATCCAGCTCTTCGCACGCCAGGCACTCCTGTCTTCCGCTGCCTCCTGCAGTTTGGTGAAACTCATGTTAACAGCTTTGAGAACACTGTCATCCCCTTCTCCTTGTGCCCTCCATCTTTCCCAACATCAGGGTCTTTTCCAGGAAGTCTTCTCTTCTCATGAGGTGGCCAAAGTCTTGGAGCCTCAGCTTCACGATCTGTCCTTCCAGTGAGCACTCAGTGAGCACTCCAAGACTGATTTCCTTAAGAATGGATAGGTTTGATCTTCTTGCATGGGACTCTCCTTCAGCACCATAATTCAAAAGCATCAATTCTTTGGCGATCAGCCTTCTCTATGGTCCAGCTCTCACTTCCATACATCACTGCTGGGAAAACCATAGCTTTTACTATATGGACCTTTGTTGGCAAGGTGATATCTCTGCTTTTTAAGATGCTGTCTAGGTTTGTCATTGCTTTTCTCCCAAGAAGCAGGCGTCTTTTAATTTCGTGGCTGCTGTCACCATCTGCAGTGATCATGGAGCCCAAGAAAGTAAAATCTCTCACTGCCTCCATTTCTTCCCCTTCTATTTGCCAGGAGGTGATGGGACCAGTGGCCATGATCTTTGTATTTTTGATGTTGAGCTTCAGACCATATTTTGCGTTCTCCTCTTTCACCCTCATTAAAAGGTTCTTTAATTCCTCCTCACTTTCTGCCATCAAAGTTGTGTCATCTGCATATCTGAGGTTGTTGATATTTCTTCCGGCAATCTTAATTCCGGCTTGGGATTCATCCTGCCCAGCCTTTCGCATGATGAATTCTGCATATAAGTTAAATAAGCAGGGAGACAATATACAGCCTTGTCGTACTCCTGTCCCAATTTTGAACCAATCAGTTGTTCCATATCCAGTTCTAACTGTAGCTTCTTCTCCCACATAGAGATTTCTCAGGAGACAGATGAGGTGATCAGGCACTCCCATTCCTTTAAGAACTTGCCATAGTTTGCTGTGGTCAACACACTCAAAGGCTTTTGCATAGTCAATGAAGCAGAAGTAGATGTTTTTCTGGAACTCTCTAGCTTTCTCCACAATCCAGCGCATGTTTGCAATTTGGTCTCTGGTTTTCCTCTGCCCCTTTGTAATCCAGCTTGCACTTCTGGAGTCCTTGGTCTACATACTGCTTAAGCCTACCTTGTAGAATTTTTAGCATAATCTTGCTAGCATGTGAAATGAGTGCAATTGTGCGGTAGTTGGAGCATTCTTTGGCACTGCCCTTCTTTGGGATTGGGATGTAGATTGATCTTTTCCAATCCTCTGGCCACTGCTGAGTTTTCCAAACTTGCTGGCATATTGAGTGTAGTACCTTAACAGCATCATCTTTTTAAAAATTTTAATAGTTCAGCTGGAATGTCATCACTTCCACTGGCCTTGTTATTTGCAGTGCTTTCTAAGGCCCATTTGACTTCACTTTCCAGGATGTCTGGCTCAAGGTCAGCAACCACACTACCTGGGGTGTACGAGACATCCATATCTTTCTGGTATGGTAATTCCTCTGGGTATTATTGCCACCTCTTCTTGATGTCTTCTGCTTCTGTTAAGTCCTTACCACTTTTGCCCTCTACTGTCTCATAAAAACAAACAGGCATAAGCTGGAGTGAACTGTGCTTGGAGTGTTTTGTAGGCATGTGGTTTAGTCTGCACTTCCACATTCCGATCCCAGCTTGTTCCATCTGGATGCAGACCAGGGAGGTTTGCCCCCAGTGATGGAGTAAACTAAAATGCTCTCACTTGAGACTCAAGGCTCATGCATGCCACAAAAGCACAAGGAGACACGAGTGATACGTGCTGCACGTCACGTCAACCACCTCCACCACTTTGCTTGGACTCATCAGCGGTGCATTTCCTCTTTCCTGGCCCACGCTGCTCCCAACGTCGTCAGAACTTAACTTTCTGTGAGTCAGACCATCCTCTGAAAGGAGGCAGCATGCTCTGGTGACAGTGGAGGGGAAGAAAAGAGAGACAACATCACAGTGTTTAATTAGCCTGCCGCCCAAACTGTCTCTTTCTGGCCTTGTGCTGATTGAGATGAGCTTTATTAATGTTTCCCATTAGTTCAAAACCTCCTTTGCATTGCAAAGGTTTTTGATGTTTTTGTTGCTGCTGCTTTTAAATGCTTCACTGAGAAACACTCTGTAGTAAATTTAAGGAAGGCTGGCATCCCTTTTAACTCTCTACATCACAGAAACCAGCTGGGCCCTCAGGGAGCGGCTGGGACTTGCCTTTCCTCAGAGAAGCCCCCAAAGCCAAAGATGAACTAACAAGCCATCTCCCTTTCATAGAAACCATAAGCCATTCTTGAGGTTTGTAGCTTAGGATGGAATATTTTGCTCAAACACAGCAGAGATGCCCTCCACCTTCCTGTTCTGACAAGCCACACTGAGACTTGGCGAAAAGGATTGAAAATAATAATGTGCACAGATCATAATGTTCTTAGATCCTGCAGCCCCACTTGGGATATTGTGTCCAGTTCCATCTCCAGAAGGTTATCATAGGGGTGAAGCTACTTTCAAGGGGAACCACAGACATCAGGGACTGCAGGAAGAAAGGGAAATACCACATCTGAGGCTTTTCAGTTTCTAGAAATGACTTTTAAAACCACACTTCTATGTGCATTTAGCTTGGAGTCAGCCCCACACTGACTTCAGTAGGGCTTCCTTGCATAAAGGACTGAGCTGCAACAGGAACACAATAGGAGGTTTATACAACAATGTTGTGCAGGGGCTTGTGGCTAAAGAAGTGTGCTCCCTCCCTAGTACTTGAACTTTGGAGTCACCTAATGCTGTTGATTAGCAATAGGTTCACGGCCATCCAGTGGTGGGCAGTGACATTTTTCGTAGAGGAACAGTTAGGGCCAGAGGTGCCAGCTTGTGAGGGTGATGTGGGGTGGGGTGGGGTGGCAGCAATGTTGCATGCATGATGTCCTGACATCATGCGCATGAGCATTGTGCCTCCCTCCCTAAGCTGGGCAGAAGCTTCCTGGGCTTTGGGAAGGAGGCGCCAGGACTCTGACAGGATGCTGGAGCCCTGCTGCCTCCTTCCTAAAGCCAGGTGAGATTTGGGAAGGTGGTGGGAGGACTCTTGGACCCTTTCAGGGACAGGCCTAGTCTCCTTAGTCCAGTGACCGCACGCCACTGCAACTGTCCAGTGCTGTAGCTCAGGCTGAGGGCTTACATAGGCACAGGCAGTTCCACCCCTTCCTAGCTCTTGGAAAGGTCTTGACCTGGGCAGAGGCTTAGATGAGCTTCCTGGGCTTCCTGAACAGCCTCTGGCTCACTGTCTCCTCTGCTCCTGTAGCTCTGGGAATGAAGCCATCCCAGAACCATGCAGGAAGTGGAGATGTCTGGATTGCACAACTCCTCAGGGCCACTGGTAGTGCGGAGCTCTGCTGGAAGTAGATCCTTCACCCTTGCTTCTCCTCCAGGGAGACCCCTAGGTAGGGATTAATTCTGACAATGACATAAAAAAATCCCCTTCTTAATATGACATGGAATGAATTTATGAAGGCACAAAAGTTACCTAGTCACAGTCTTCTCACCATGGTGAGATATAGTGTATTACTCTGGTGTGTATTTCTAATTTAAACTGTAGCAATCATTTCAAAGATTCCATCTATGTATATAAAATAAGCATCTGCTGCTATTATTTATTTATTTATTTTTTAATTTACATTTATAACCCACCTTTCCTCCACAAAGCTCAGTGTTGCATGCAGGTCTTTTCCCCTGCCCATTTTATCCTCACAACCATCTTGTAAGGTGGGTCTGTCTGAGAGGCCTGAAGTCACCCAGTGAGTGGGGAATGGAACCCTGGTCTCCAGGCCCAAGCCCAAAGTTCTAACCACTCCCCACACTATGCAAATATTTCTTATCATTTTCATGGAACCTGGTCCTCCTTTGGGTGGTGTGTAAGTGGCCCCGTTATCTGGAATGGAACCACGCAGCATTCGTGGTTTGTAAGATGTGCTTCCCTTTCCCTCTCCTTACCTCCTCTATCTCTGCCTTTTACAGCCTTTTCCAAATCTCATTTCCTGCCTTATTCCCTGCCAGCATGGATGGAGGGGGCCTTCAAGCAGACACTTATCTCCCATCTGTGAATGATGAGACCCTTTAGAGCCAGCAAGGCTTTCTGACTGCCCCCTTCCATGATATGTGCCAACTGCCCCATGGCAAGGGCATGTGATGTCACACCAACAAGGGCCTCACGCAGGGATTTAATTACGGGGTCAGGTGAAAGGAGCAGATCAAGGGCCATGAAGGAGAAAGTTTCCGTGTGGTGCAAAAAGTAATTCTTTACAGTTTAGCAAAGGCTGAGCACACAAGCAAGAGATTGCCTGCAGAAGGCACTCAAATGAGAGAAGGTTTCCCCTCCACTGACTGCTCATCCTCACTCCTGTTTGATTCAGGCCTAGTAGGCTTGAATCGGAACAAGCGTCACTCTGTGGAAGACCCAACCGATGTTTGTTTCAATTTAGCAGTAAACAGCAAATTTTCCTGGGGAAAGCTGCAGGGCAAAAAACCCCAGCACTCAGACCTGTGCCTAGAAATTGCAGCACAAACAGAAGTGGGGATGAACCCTGAATGTTAACTCTCTGGTCTGCTTCCAGCATCACTAGGGACCCCCTCCAGACAGAGGTTTTATTTTGGGCATGTTCTGCAAGCAGCAACATGTTATCAACACAGTAATAGTATATTCTCCTTCATGGATCACTGCCTTGCCGTGGCGAAGGGGCTTGAATAACTCAGAGAAGCTATGAGCTATGCCGTGCAGGGCCACCCAAGATGGACAGTTCATAGTGGAGAGTTTTGACCAAACGTGATCCACCTGGAGCAGGAACCGGCAAGCCACTCCAGTATCCCTGCCAAGAAAACTCCATGGACAAAGACAACAGGCATATATAAGTTATGGCGCTGGAAGATGAGCCCCTCAGGTCAGAAGGCGTCCAACATGCTACTGAGGAAGAGCGGAGAACAAGTACAAGTAGATTCAGAGCTGATGAAGTGGCTGGGCCAAAGCCGAAAGGTCGCTCAGTTGCGGATATGCCTGAAAGCGAAAGGAAAGTCCAATGTTGTAAAGAAAAATATTGCATAGGAACCTGGAATGTAAGAACCATGAACCTGGGCAAGTTGGATGTGGTCAAAAATGAGATGGCAAGAATAAATATTGACATCCTGGGCATCAGTGAACTAAAATGGACGGGAATGGGCAATTTCAGTTCGGATGACCATCATATCTACTACTGTAGGCAAGAATCCTGTAAAAGAAATGGAGTGGCCCTCATAGTCAACAAAAGAGTGGTGAAAGCTGTACTGGGATGCAATCTCAAAAATGATAGAATGATCTCGATACGAATCCAAGGCAGACCTTTTAACATCACAGTAATCCAAGTTTATGCACCAACTACTGGTGCTGAAGAAACTGAAATTGATCAGTTCTATGAAGACTTACAACACCTTCTAGAAATGACACCAAAGAAGGATGTTCTTCTCATTATAGGGGATTGGAATGCTAAAGTAGGGAATCAAGAGATAAAAGGAACAACTGGCAAGTTTGGCCTTGGAGTTCAAAACGAAGCAGGGCAAAAGCTAATAGAGTTCTGCCAAGAGAACAAGCTGGTCATCACAAACACTCTTTTCCAACAGCACAAGAGACGACTCTACACATGGACATCACCAGATGGGCAGCATCGAAATCAGATTGATTATATTCCCTGCAGCCAAAGATGGAGAAGCTCTATACAGTCAGCAAAAACAAGACCTGGAGCTGACTATGGCTCAGATCGTCAGCTTCTTATAGCAAAATTCAAGCTTAAACTGAAGAAAGTAGGAAAAACCACTGGGTGGGTAAGATACAATCTAAATCAAATCCCTTATGAATACACAGTGGAAGTGAGGAACAGGTTTATGGATTTAGATTTGGTGGACAGAGTGCCTGAAGAACTATGGATGGCGGCTCGTAACATTATACAGGAGGCAGCAACAAAAACCATCCCAATGAAAAGGAAATGCAATAAAGCAAAGTGGCTGTCTAACGAGGCCTTACAAATAGCGGGGGAGAGAAGGCAAGCAAAATGGGAGGGAGATAGTGAAAGATACAGGAAATTGAATGCAGATTTCCAAAAAATAGCAAGGAGAGACAAGAAGGCCTTCTTAAACGAGCAATGCAAAGAAACAGAGGAAAACAACAGAATGCGAAGAACCAGAGATCTGTTCAAGAAAGTTGTAGATATGAAATGAACATTTCGTACAAAGATTACCATAATAAAGGACAAAAGTGGTAAGGATCTAACAGAAGCAGAAGACATCAAGAAGAGGTGGCAAGAATACTGTTAGGTAAGATTTATTGCTTTACTCTTGGTGTCCGGCACGCTCCCCTGCACTCCTCTGCAGGTTGTAAAGCAATTAGCAGAATTGCACAGCGGTTTGTGTAGAAAGGGCAGTAAAAGAGTCCCACACGTTTCTTCTTTCCTAGTAGCACTTTATTTGCTCAGAAATAGCATATTTACAGTTCATATACACCATCTGATTGAAGCTGCATTTTGCTCCCTGTTTGCATCCTTCTCTCTCAGTGGCAGCTGCGCAACTAAGCTGCTTTCACTTTTCACTCAGCTCACAGCATTCCAAGCTGCTTCCGTCACGTCCTGGCTTACTTCCCTTGTAAGCGCCTCCTCTCAGCCTCGAGACACAGAAGGTTAACCCTTCACTACACCCAACACCCCCTCTTGTCTCGCGCCTGAGGGGAGAATCGACCCTTGGTCGTCCCAAACACAGACCTTCACAAAACTCCCCATGTCTTTGGAAGGTGAGTGGCTTCGTGAACCCATCAGCTAGATTCTTGGCAGAGGGACAATACTTCAGCGCAACTAATCCCTCCTGAACACTTTGGCACACATTCCGAAAGCGAATGTCTAGGTGTTTCGTTCTGGCCTTGAACTGACCTGACTCTGCCAAACGCAGGCATGGTTGATTGTCCTCGAAAACACGTATCGGCAGACAATCCACTTCGCAGAGTTCCTGCACCAAACAAGCATAGAACTCTACTTCTCTGCACATCTCTGAAAGAGCACTAAACTCAGCCTCAGTGGATGAGAGCGCTATAAGACTTTGCTTCTTGGATCTCCACCCAACTACTGAGTTCCCAAACTTCACCACTAGGCCAGACACAGACTTGCGATCCTCAAGATTAGCCCAATCCGAGTCCACAAAGCAAGTCAGTTTGACTTCTCCTTGTGCTGGCAACCTAAGACAAAAGTCTTTGGTCTCCTGCAAATACCTCAGAACTCTCTTGATGCCATTCCAGGCTTGCACACTAGGGTTTGATGCTTCCCTGCTGAGCAGATTGGCAGCAAACGCTATATCAGGTCTGCTCCATTGGGACAAGTACAACAAACTCCCTAGAGCTGACTGAAACACTTCAGTATTTTCGAACGCAGCGCGTTCTGCTTGCTGGCTGTCCTTCACAAAACTAGTCTCCATAGGACTTCTCACTCCTGCACAATCACTCATCCTGAACTTCTGAAGCAATTGCTCAATTTTACCTCTCTGGCTGAGCAAAAAACTTCCATCCTGTGCACGCTCAACATTGACACCTAGATCTTTCATGGACTTCATCTCTTTGTCCATTGCTCTGTGCCACTTGCCTGCTTCTTCCTCAGGTAAACTCTGAATATCCTCGAAGGATTCAGGTTCACATCTTGCAGAACCTACCCAGACGCCTGAAGCGTCGTACCGATCAGGAGGCCTCCTTGTCCTCGCTGATCTCCTCAGTGTGACTCCTGGTGACCCTGCCGCTTCACTGGGTCCAGCTAAATCATCCTCAACTTCAGTGTCTTCCCCCTCTGACCTGCTGTGCCTCTTGGGCCTTACAGCTGGTCCAGCAGGTGAAGAAGGCTCACTCTTTGGCTCAAACTTGACACTTGCCTGAGGAGGTGTTCTAGGTTCCCCCCTCTGAGGGATCCTGAGCTGTCCCTGCCTTGGACCGTGGTCCCCAGCTCCAAGTTCCTCCTCCTCCTCGTCTGAGTCATAGAACTGCTGTGGAAGCACGTCTGGATTAGCGTGCAGACGTTTCCAACCAGCTTGCTCACAGAACTCAGCGCTATTGCTGATAACCAACCTAGACTGGTCTCCACTTGGGTACGCAAACCTCCAGGCCTTTGAGCCAGGCTCATACCCTACAAAGATCATTCTTTTAGATCTTGGCTCACCTTTCTTGCGTAGAGCCTTTGGAATAAGCACCCAAGCCTCACAACCAAACACACGAAGGTAGTGTACCTTAGGCTTCCGTCCATGAAGTAAGAAATACGGTGTATTTCCTACACTAGAGTTGTACACTCTGTTCTCGGTATGGACCACATATCGCCAAGCCTCCGACCAAAATTTCTGGGGTAGCCCTGCGTCCCACAGGATCGCAGACACAGCTTCCTGCACCGTCCTGTTCTTTCTCTCTGCCACCCCATTCTGTTGCGGAGAGTAAGGAGCGGTCAGTCTGTGGCTAATCCCCTTCTCCCTAAAGAAATCCTGTAAAGCAGAACCAGTGAATTCAGCACCTCTGTCACTTTGAAAACCACGAACTTTGGTGGAAAAAGTTACCTCAACTGCAGTGATCCAATCCCTGATCATTTTAGCCGCCTCCCTTTCGTTTTCAGAGAGAAGGTCCAAGCAGACCTCGAAAAATCATCAATCAAAAGCAAAGAATACTTGAACCTCCCAGTGACTCAACAGACATGGGTCCACACAAATCTGCATGAATTAATTCAAAGGGTTCTGTGGTCTGCCTCTCTGACTTTGGATATGAGCATGTCACAACTTTCGCCTGTTTACATGCATTGCAATCTAGAAATTTGTCACAAACATTAAATTTGCACCCTTGTGTCCGCTCTGGTGCTTTCTGGAGAAATCTCCAATTCAAATGAGCGAAGCATCGGTGCCAAATATGTGTACAACCATTGTGGGGCGCTACATTCACACATTGGCCCTTCGCATCTTCGGTGTCATCCTCTCCTGTGGAAAAAGGCACATTTACAGCAAACAAATTATCTTTAGACTGCACTGTGTACACGTGTTTCCCATCCTTGGAGAATTCACATTTGTCACCTGCAAAAGAAATTTGAAAATTATCAATCAATAGATCATGCACACTTAACAAACAGTTAGTTAAACCGGGCACTGCATAAGCTTTGACTTCATGCTTAAGAAAAGGACAGAAGAACAGTCCTGTCTCTGTCAGCCTTTTTCTGCTTCCACCTGCAAACGTAACATACTTCTCAGTTTTTACTGTCCTGCAATTCCTCAAAAGATCAGCAGATGGCACTAGCGAATTTGAGGCACCACTGTCGATAATTATAGTGAGAAAGTCTTGTTGTTTACATTCCTGGGTCGCCAGGGCAACAATCTCCTCACTACCCCCCTCCTTGGGGCTTCTGCAGATGTCCTCTCTGGTTGTCACGGCAACAGACTCCCCCCGGCAGGAAGACTTGCCCACGACCTTCACAGTTGCCGTAGATGCAACTCTCTCAGTTGCCATGGAGACTGGACTTGTCTCGGCGTTCCCACACAACTCTGAAGCTCTTATCTCTACTTGATGCAGGTGGCTGACCTTGAAGCCTCTAGCACTTTTCAGCTTCCCAGGCTCCGACTCACGACGTAAACAACTCTTGGCAGCTTTTGGAGAAAGAGGCGTCTCTGAGCTTTCACTGCTCACTGCCCCCCCACTGCTCATGGGGTCTCGAGGACGTTTTTCTGCACCCCCTCTGAAGGGTAAAGGGCTCCCAACACTTGGCCTCTGTCCAGGTTCTTCACACAGACACGTTGCAGCATCCACACAGCTCCCAGGCTCAGCAAAAGCACAAGCAGCAGTGCTAGCAACAACAACAGCAACAGTCCCTTCGCCCCCCTGTGGGGGCTCACAGCTCTCAAGAATGTGGCCGGCGCCATCTTGCCTCTCCCTTTCAGATGCAGCCACTTCTCGGCCCTTGCTTCCCACTCCAGCTCCACAAGCTTCTTGGAGTGCTAGCCAAGCGGCCTCTGGCTTTCTTGCACCCAGGACAACAGGCACCAGATGAGCATCCACACTTTCTGCCAAAAAAGCAAGCACACGCTTCTCCACTTCACTTTGCTCTGCAGCTCTATTAGCCTCTGCTTTCCCAGCTGCATTCTGTGTGGGGTGAATTACATTCCACTGCTGCTCCCCCACTAGCAAAAGCTCCACTTGAAAGCTCCACTGCAGCCAATTTTGGCTAGTCAGTTTCTGACATGGCAGTTTAAACTCAAAGCCATGCTCACAGGGCTGAGCCATTGCTTCCTTCTGTTGGCTTTTCCCAAAGGGTACTCACTCAGCCAAACTGGAAACTCCGGACGTCATGGCTCTTGGCTCCCACTCTCTGTCAGCCTCCTCCGATCTGCCCTCTTTGAAGTCTCCGGCAGTCGATCAAGCTGACAATCAGCAGATAAAACTTCAAAGCCCTTTCTCTCATGCTTCACGTTGACCCATAACCATGTTAGGTAAGATTTATTGCTTTACTCATGCGCAAAGCATGGGAAATAAACAAGATGAGCTTGAGCTCTTGGTACAGCAAACTAAATATGACATAATAGGCATCACTGAAACCTGGTGGGATAAGTCCCACGATTGGAATGTAATAATGGGGGGATACAATCTATTTCAGAGAAACAGACCAGACAAGAAAGGAGGAGGAGTGGCGTTATATGTCAGGGATGTGTATACCTGTGAAGAGATCCAAGATTTAGAACCTCAAAACCAAAGTGAGAGCATTTGGGTCAAAATTAAGGGAGAGAAGAATAACAGTGACCTCATTGTGGGAGTTTACTACAGATCCCCAAGCCAAACGGAGGACATAGATGATGCCTTCCTGGAACAGATGGCCAAGCATGCAAAAGGAAGGGAGATAGTAGTAATGGGGGACTTCAATTACCCGGATATTTGTTGGATGTCAAACTCAGCCAAGAGCATAAGGTCAAACAGATTCCTCACTGGCCTTGCAGACAACTTCATTGTCCAGAAAGTGGGAGAAGCAACAAGAGGAACAGCCATTTTAGATCTGGTCCTAACCAATGTTGATGACCTGGTTAGTGGGGTAGAAGTGGAAGGATCATTAGGCGCAAGTGATCATGCTCTTCTGAAGTTTACTATACAGCGGAAAGGAGCAGCCAAGCATACTAGGACTCAATTTCTTGACTTTAAGAAAGCTGACTTCATAAAACTTAGGGAAGTGCTGGGTGAGATCCCATGGACAGTAATACTAAAAGGAAAGGGAGTTCATGATGGCTGGGAGTTTGTTAAGAGGGAGATACTAAAAGCACAATGTCAGGCAATACCAATGAGACAGAAACATGGAAGGTGCCTAAAGAAGCCAGGGTGGCTATCTAAAGAACTTTTAACTGAGTTAAGATTAAAAAAGGATGTGTACAAAAAATGGAAAAAGGGGAAACCACCAAAGAGGAATTCAAACAAATAGCCAGCACGTGTAGACACAAAGTCAGAAAAGCTAAAGCACAGAATGAACTCAGGCTTGCTAGAGAGGTTAAAAGCAACAAAAAGGCTTTTATGGGTATGTCCGTAGCAAAAGGAAGAACAAAGAAACAGTGGGGTCACTCAGAGGAGAAGATGGTGAAATGCAAACAGGGGACACAGAAAGGGCTGAACTCCTCAATGCCTTCTTTGCCTCAGTCTTCTCCGATAAAGAAAACAATGCCCGACCTGAAGAATTTGGAGCAAATGATTCAGCAAAGGAAACACAGCCCAGAATAACTAAGGACATAGTACAAGAATACTTGGCTAGTTTAGATGTATTCAAGTCTCAAGGACCAGATGAACTGCATCCAAGAGTATTAAAAGAACTGGCAGATGTGATCTCAGAACCACTGGCAGTCATCTTTGAGAATTCCTGGAGAACAGGCGAAGTCCCGGCAGACTGGAGGAGGGCAAATGTTGTCCCTATTTTCAAAAAGGGGAAAAGAGAGGACCCAAATAATTACCGCCCAGTCAGTCTGACATCAATACCAGGGAAGATTCTGGAGCAGATCATTAAGCAAACAGTCTGTGAGCACCTAGAAAGGAATGCTGTGATCACCAACAGTCAGCATGGATTTCTGAAAAATAAGTCATGTCAGACTAACCTGATCTCGTTTTTGACAGAATTACAAGCCTGGTAGATGAAGGGAACGCAGTGGATGTAGCCTACCTTGATTTCAGCAAGGCATTTGACAAGGTGCCTCATGATATTCTTGTAAAGAAGCTGGTAAAATGCGGTCTTGACTATGCTACCACTCAGTGGATTTGTAACTGGCTGACTGACCGAACCCAAAGGGTGCTCATCAATGGTTCCTCTTCATCCTGGAGAAGAGTGACTAGTGGGGTGCCACAGGGTTCTGTCTTGGGCCCGGTCTTATTCAACATCTTTATCAACGACTTGGATGATGGACTCAAGGGCATCCTGATCAAATTTGCAGATGACACCAAATTGGGAGGGGTGGCTAACACCCCAGAGGACAGGATCACACTTCAAAACGACCTTGACAGATTAGAGAACTGGGCCAAAACAAACAAGATGAATTTTAACAGGGAGAAATGTAAAGTATTGCACTTGGGCAAAAAAAAGGAGAGGCACAAATACAAGATGGGGGACACCTGGCTTGAGAGCAGTACATGTGAAAAGGATCTAGGAGTCTTGGTTGACCACAAACTTGACATGAGCCAACAGTGTGACGCGGCAGCTAAAAAGCCAATGCAATTCTGGGCTGCATCAATAGGAGTATAGCATCTAGATCAAGGGAAGTAATAGTGCCACTGTATTCTGCTCTGGTCAGACCTCACCTGGAGTACTGTGTCCAGTTCTGGGCACCACAGTTCAAGAAGGACATTGACAAACTGGAACGTGTCCAGAGGAGGGCAACCAAAATGGTCAAAGGCCTGGAAACGATGCCTTATGAGGAACAGCTAAGGGAGCTGGGCATGTTTAGCCTGGAGAAGAGGAGGTTAAGGGGTGATATGATAGCCATGTTCAAATATATAAAAGGATGTCACATAGAGGAGGGAGAAAGGTTGTTTTCTGCTGCTCCAGAGAAGTGGACACGGAGCAGTGGATCCAAACTACAAGAACGAAGATTCCACCTAAACATTAGGAAGAACTTCCTGACAGTAAGAGCTGTTTGCCAGTGGAATTTGCTGCCAAGGAGTGTGGTGGAGTCTCCTTCTTTGGAGGTCTTTAAGCAGAGGCTTGACAACCATATGACAGGAGTGCTCTGATGGTGTTCCTGCTTGGCAGGGGGTTGGACTCGATGGCCCTTGTGGTCTCTTCCAACTCTATGATTCTATGATTCTACTCTTGGTGTCCGGCACGCTCCCCTGCACTCCTCTGCAGGTTGTAAAGCAATTAGCAGAATTGCACAGCGGTTCGTGTAGAAAGGGCAGTAAAAGAGTCCCACACGTTTCTTCTTTCCTAGTAGCACTTTATTTGCTCAGAAATAGCATGTTTACAGTTCATATACACCATCTGATTGAAGCTGCATTTTGCTCCCTGTTTGCATCCTTCTCTCTCAGTGGCAGTTGCGCAACTAAGCTGCTTTCACTTTTCACTCAGCTCACAGCATTCCAAGCTGCTTCCGTCATGTCCTGGCTTACTTCCCTTGTAAGCGCCTCCTCTCAGCCTCGAGACACAGAAGGTTAACCCTTCACTACACCCAACAAATACACAGAGGAATTATACCAGAATGATAAGGATGGCTCGTACACCCCAGGTAGTGTGGGTGCTGACATCCTGGAGAGTGAAGTCAAATGGGCCTTAGAAAGCACTGATAATAACAAGGCCAGTGGAGGTGATGATATTCCAGCTGAAGCCTTTGAGTGTGCTAACCACAGCAAACTATGGCAAGTTCTTAAAGAAATGGGAGTGCCTGATCACCTCATCTGTCTCCTGAGAAATCTCTATGTGGGAGAAGAAGCTACAGTTAGAACTAGATATGGAACAACTGATTGGTTCAAAATTGGGACAGGAGTACGACAAGGCTGTATATTGTCTCCCCACTTATTTAACTTATATGCAGAATTCATCATGCGAAAGGCTGGGCTGGATGAATCCCAAACTGGAATTAAAATTACCGGAAGAAATATCAACAACCTCAGATATGCAGATGACACAACTCTGATGGCAGAAAGTGAGGAGGAATTAAAGAACCTTTTAATGAGGGTGAAAGAGGAGAGCGCAAAATATGGTCTGAAGCGCAACATCAAGAAAACAAAGATCATGGCCACTGGGCCCATCACCTCCTGGCAAATAGAAGGGGAAGAAATGGAGGCAGTGAGAGATTTTACTTTCTTGGGCTCCATGATCACTGCAGATGGTGACAGCGGTCACGAAATTAAAAGACATCTGCTTCTTGGGAGGAAAGCAATGATAAACCTAGACAGCATCTTAAAAAGCAGAGACATCACCTTGCCAACAAAGGTCCGGATAGTTAAAGCTATGGTTTTCCCAGCAGTGATGTATGGAAGTGAGAGCTGAACCATAAAGAAGGCTGATCACCAAAGAATTGATGCTTTTGAATTATGGTGCTGGAGGAGACTCTTGAGAGACCCATGGTCTGCAAGAAGATCAAACCTATCCATTCTTAAGGAAATCAGCCCTGAGTGCTCACTGGAAGGACAGATCCTGAAGCTGAGGCTCCAATACTTTGGCCACCTCATGAGAAGAGAAGACTCCCTGGAAAAGACCCTAATGTTGGGAAAGATGGAGGGCACAAGGAGAAGGGGACGACAGAGGACGAGATGGTTGGATAGTGTTCTCGAAGCTACCAGCATGAGTTTGACCAAACTGCGGGAGGCAGTGGAAGACAGAAGTGCCTGGCGTGCTCTGGTCCATGGGGTCACGAAGAGTCGGACATGACTACATGACTAAACAACAACAACAAATAGTATATTGATGGTGGATTTATTCTGCTTTAGTTTCTTCTGAGATGCTTTCCCAATGCAATCACTTATTAGCGCTGTCCCAAGGCACTACAGCACAGAACATTTGCCATATGGTAAGTGACAGGATTTCAGGAGGAAATTATGAGTTGTGCACAGACAGGAGCTGAAGCAGTGTGACTGCCCCAAACTTTTACAGGCACAAATAGTATGGAAAGCGAGATCATGTGGGACCACCCCAGAAGCGTCATGAGCACACATAATCAGGGATGCAAAACTTAAAGGGATGGCTGGAGGGGCCCTCACTTCACCCAGCAACTTCTAGGTGTGACGGAGGATATGCAGGATAGCTCAGTTAGTAGAGCGTGAGACTCAAACTCAGGGTCATGGGTTCAAGCCCCACAAGGGGCAGGAAGATTCCTTCATTGCAGGGGGTTGGACTAGATGACCCTCTTGGTCCCTTCCAGCTCTACAATTCTATGATTCTATTTTGTTATCTGGATTCAATAATGGTCAGTTCTCTCTCACATCAGGGGTGGGTGGAGTTCAGCATGCTAGGTCTCAGCTTGGCCTGATAAATTGGAAAAGGTCCCCTGCCCCTCTCTATCTGGTCACTTGAAATATGCCCAGCTGGAATTATGGTCTCTTCTTTCTTTTTCAAATACCTTTGAAAGGACAGCAGCACTAGGAAATCATGACAGAATAATAATAATAATAATAATAATAATAATAATAATAATAATTTATTATTTGTACCCCGCCCATCTGGCTGGGTTTCCCCAGCCACTCTGGGCGGCTTCCATAAAAACTAAAATACACTGAAATATCACACATTAAAAACTTCCCTGAACAGGGCTGCCTTAAGATGTCTTCTGAATGTCAGGTAGTTATTTATCGCTTTGACATCTGATGGGAGGGCGTTCCACAGGGCGGGCGCCACTACCGAGAAGGCCCTCTGCCTGGTTCCCTGTAGCTTTGCTTCTCCCAATGAGGGAACCGCCAGAAGGCCCTCGGCGCTGGACCTCAGCGTCCGGGCAGAACGATGGGGATGGAGACGCTCCTTCAGGTATACTGGGCCGAGGCCATTTAGGGCTTTAAAGGTCACCACCAACACTTTGAATTGTGCTCGGAAACATACTGGGAGCCAATGTAGGTCTTTCAAGACCGGTGTTATGTGGTCTCGGTGGCTGCCCCCAGTCTAGCATTCTGGATTAGTTGTAGTTTCCGAGTCACCTTCAAAGGTAGCCCCACGTAGAGCGCATTGCAGTAGTCCAAGCGGGAGATAACTAGAGCATGCACCACTCTGGCGAGACAGTCCGCGGGCAGGTAGGGTCTCAGCCTGCGTACCAGGTGGAGTTGGTAGAAAGCTGCCCTGGATACAGAATTGACCTGCGCCTCCATGGACAGCTGTGAGTCCAAAATGACTCCCAGGCTGTGCACCTGGTCCTTCAGGGACACAGTTACCCCATTCAGGACCAAGGAGTCCCCCATACCAGCCCGCCCCCTGTCCCCCAAAAACAGTACTTCTGTCTTGTCAGGATTCAACTTCAATCCGTTAGCCGCCATCCATCCTCCAGCCGCCTCCAGGCTCACACAGGACCTTCACCAGGCTCACACAGGACCTTCACCACCTTCACTGGTTCTGATTTGAAAGAGAGGCAGAGCTGGGTATCATCTGCATATTGATGGACACCCAGCCCAAATCCCCTGATGATCTCTCCCAGCGGCTTCATATAGATGTTAAAAAGCATGGAGGAGAGGACAGAACCCAAGAATCATAGAATCATAGAGTTGGAAGAGACCACAAGGGCCATCGAGTCCAACCCCCTGCCAAGCAGGAAACACCATCAGAGCACTCCTGACATATGGTTGTCAAGCCTCTGCTTAAAGACCTCCAAAGGAGGAGACTCCACCACACTCCTTGGCAGCAAATTCCACTGTCGAACAGCTCTCACTGTCAGGAGGGCCCAGGGGTCTGAACACTCATCCCCCACACCACCACTTTCTGAACACGGCCCAGGAGGAAGGAGCGAAACCACTGTATAACAGTGCCCTCAGCTCCCAGCCCCTCTAGACGGTCCAGAAGGATGTTATGGTCAATTGTATCAAAGGCCGCTGAGAGATCCAGCAGAACCAGGAAACAACTCTCACCTTTATCCCTAGCTCGCCGGAGATCATCAACCAGCGCGACCAAGGCAGTTTCAGTCCCATGATGAGGCCTGAATCCCGATTGGAAGAGATCCAAATGGTCCGCATCCTCCAGGCGTGCCTGGAGTTGTTCAGCAACCACACGCTCAATCACCTTGCCCAAGAATGGAAGATTTGTTGTTGTTTTTAAAATAATATTTATTAATAATTTCAGAATTACAGAAAAAAACAACAACAACACTGCAATACATAAAAAGAAGAAAAAACGCAAAACATAAAAACCAATACAACAATACAGCAAAACAGAAAATAAAAAAAGGGAAAAAAGACACAAATCCCATATTACATATCTTTAACTTCCATTTGCTTGTTTCGTTGACCTCCTCACACCTCCCTTTTTGTATTCTAGTTTAATTAGTTATTTCAGCAAATTCTTTCCATCTTTCTCAATTTTTATTAAATAATTTATCTTAACAATTTAACCTATTAATTAACTCGACAGATCCTTTCCATCTTTCCCCATATTCTGTTATTCAAATTACCTTAATTTATTTAACCTTATCTTGCCATAAAATACCTTAAAGCTTAAAACTTAATACTCAGTTATACATAACTCCTGATATCATTTCTGCTAGAGTCATATAGTTTCATTCCAACATTTTCCCTAATATTCATTAATTTTAGGCTAGTTCTCTAAATAAAAAATTTTCTTTATAAATTTTCTTCCAATCTTCATCCAACGTCTCTTCTTCCTGGTCTCGGGTCGTGTCAGTCCTTACTGTCCATTCCATCTAGTCCATCAACCTGGAAGTCTTATGTCCGAGGCCCTTAAGTCTCTTCCATGTCCCTTCTGCAGATCTTCTTCTTCTTGTTTATACTTGCACTTTTCCTTGTCTTTTGTTGGTCTCTTTCTTAATTTCTTTCCTTTCTCATTGAGGAGTAGGTCTCTGGGGGGTTCCAACCCAAAGTTATCTCCGTCTCCCTTCATCAAACCAGCCCATTCCCCACAGTCCCACTCCCCACAGTCATCAATATAATCCAAAAAATATTTACAAGCATATTTCAAAGTCTCTCCAAAGTTAAAAGCCTCCTCAGCTCCAGACTCCCCCTGGCCCACTCCAACTTCAATCTTCAAAAACAGCGGCTTATGCTCCTGTAGGGCCTTGGGCCTCTCCATTTGTATTATTTGAAGTGCAACCGCAGCCTCCTCCATTATCTTCTGCACTTGCCCAATCAATACAGGTTCCTGAATTGGATCCTGGATGGTTTCTGTATCACAATTCACTATTTGTCCACAGTTATTGGCCACAACAATCATCAAATCCATTTTCTCATTCATCAAATCCATCTTCTCATGCATCTGTTCCAACAAAGCACTTGTCTTGCATAAAGCAAGCACCAAAACTTCCTTCCAGCTCATATTTAGTCAAGGTCAAAAGGACTAATCCCACGATCTTAATCTCACAGCTGTGGAATCCTCAAGCAGACTGCACCAACAATTTAGCAGGCTCCCTCTAGAGGAGACAATTTCTATTTGTATCCATCTTTTTAAGGCAAGTCCAACAAAGGAAAATTACTTTCATTTTTCAGATATTTTGTTTCTTTAGAATGCAAAAGGCAACATTGGAATCAGTTTATTTCTCTTCTTCAGCTATCTGTCAAAGTATTCCATTCACAGTCAATGAACCTCTCCAACAATTTCTGTCTCTGACACCCCATTCCCAGGTTAGAGACGGTGGAAACTTATCTTTCTTCACTCCCTCTCCTGCAGGCGTTACACAAAGTCCCCCCCCCCTTTTCTCCTGCTTCCAAGAGGGTTTCAGTAGTTATAAATGAAGGAAATTTAGGCTTTTTTAATGACTTTCCAGGCTTTAGCTTACAAGGTTTTTGCTTTAGTCTATATACAAAAAGCGGAAGGCGGACTTCCTGTTTTGAACCTTCCCGCTTCAATGTCAAATTAAGATATTTCTTGATCCAATTTTCCGTTTCTACTCATGGGTACTTGTTTTAAATCCAATTGTCCACAGGAAAAAGTCAGCGCTCTCCGGCAATGGCTGTGCGGCTTCACTCCGTGAAAGTAGCAGTCATTTGGCAGCACTGCGCTGCTCACCCCACTTCACTCCGGAGCCCCAAAATGGGGTTCCCGGTGAGTAGGGGGAGCGCTCCTGGTGGCCTGCCGAACCCCACGTTCCCAGGCTTCCTCCGCCTGGGATTTCTAGTGGGTCCCCACCTTCGCCGCAGCGGGAAGACCCAGTTTCCACGGAGCCAGTTCCTCCAGTCGGAGGAACTCCGCCATTCGCCGATGGCGCTAACCCGGAAAAAAAAAAGAATGGAAGATTTGAGACTGGGCGATAGTTGGCCATACTGGCCGGGTCTAAAGATGGTTTTTTAAGAAGCAGTTTAATGACCGCCTCTTTCAGCGGATCTGGGAATGTTCCCTCACAGAGGGAAGCATTCACCACCCCACAGAGCCCATCGCCCAGCCCTTCCCGGCTTGCTTTTATTAGCCAGGATGGGCAAGGATCAAGGAGACAGGTGGTTGGTTTCACGCATCCAAGCAGCCTGTCCACATCCTCGGGGGTAACGGATTGAAATTGATTCCATGCAACTTGACCAGACAGAGCTCCAGCACTCTCCCGCCCCAGCCCTGCTCCCACGGTGGTGTCTAGCTCCTTCCGAATATGAGTGATTTTATCTGCAAAAAACTTTGCAAAATCGTTGCAGGAGATCTTGGGGTCTTTACAAGGCCCCGGTGGTAAAGGTGGTTCCGTTAAATTGCGAACCACCTGAAAGAGTCTCCTGCTACTATTTTCTGCAGATGCAATAGAGGTAGTGAAGAAAGTCTTCTTCGCCGTCGCTATCGCCACTTGGTAGGCTCGACGTTGAGCTCTAACCTGTGTCCGGTCAGATTTGGAGTGAGTTTTCTGCCACCGACGCTCTAGCCATCTCAGCGATTGTTTCATCGCCCTCAGCTCCGAAGAAAACCACGGGGCTGTCCGGGCTCCATGCAATCGGAGAGGGCGCTTCGGTGCCAGACAGTCTATAGCCCAGGTTAACTCCGCATTCCAGCAGGCCACCAGGGAATCAGCTGAAAGGCCATCAACATGGGATAAAGCATCCCCTACCACTCTCTGGAAACCATTTGGATCCATTAAGTGGCGGGGGCGGACCATCCGAATTGGTCCCACCTCCCTGCAGAGGGGAAGGGTCGCGGTGAAGTCCAGTTGCACCAGGAAGTGATCTGACCATGGCACTTCTTTTGT